TAATAGATATTTAAGAAGGCACATCAACAGTTTTTCTTAAATGATCAAAGTAATTTGGAAAAATTAAATTATGCCACAAAGTCCTGAATAATCCAAGTGGCTATCACAGTATTTTGACCATGTCCTCATTAGGACCCTGTGATGGTTTGAATGAAAATGTCCCCCATAGGCTCCAAGTATTTGGACATTTTGTCCCCAGATGATGACGCTGTTTTGGGAGGTTTTAGAAGGTGTGGCTATCCTAGAGGAAGCACATCACTGGGGGTGGGCTTAGAGAGTTCTTAAGTCTTGCCAGATTTCCATTCGCTCTCTTGCTTCTTGTGCCTGTGTGATGATGTGAGAGCTTAGCTTCTGCTGCTCCTGCTCCAGCCACCTCCAGCCACCATGCCTCCCTGCCATGATGGACTGTAATTCCCCTGGAACCATAAGCTCAAGTAAACTCTTCCTCCTATAAATTGTTTTGGTCAGGGTTTCTATCACAGCAACAGAACAGTGACTAATACAATTTTAAAAATCTAAATTAACTGCATATTATTTATGAATGTTCACAGAGCATTAAAAGAATAAACACTACAATATTAAGAAAACCCAGAGATATTTCTGTAAGCTCAGGTGACAGATTTAAATCCTGGGCATCACTTTTCCAGCAACAGTAACAACTGAAGTTTGTTCTGGCCCACTCTCAAATAGGACAAAAATCTAAGAGTCCTGATTTAGGAGTGAGAAAAGCAAGTTCATATAGAAAACAAAACATTATAGAAATACTTTGTTGAGAGCTCTCTATTTCTAATCTTATTTCTGGTAAAGGATTCATGTGATGGCTCAGTGTGAATTCTTGGCTTTTATACTCTTGTTCCTTCTCAGAGTTTATGAATTGGCCATAACTAAAAGACTGACCTAATTTTTTTTTAGTACTTTAAGAGATTATTTGATCCTGGTCACAACAGCTAACTCAAATGTGCAGACAACCTACTGGTGTTGCAGACCATCCTTCCCCAGACCCTGGAAACGCTTGCATTCCTGTTGTACCATTGTGAGGCTTTTCTCAGTTGTCTCATTGAATTTCTCCTCCTGAAAATTAAAAACAATCATGGTTACAAACATTTTATCTAAAATCAAATGATAAACTTTATGTCAACTGTTCAGTAGCTCCTTTGTTTCTAGAGTATTTTCAAGCTCACATGACTACGTACTTTCCCTTGTGTATGCAAGAATTGGAATTGGAATTTTTCAATTTTAGATAGGTAGATTTTTGCTAAAATTTTAAATTTCAACTAGTACATCATCTTGTTGATTCTTTAGTGCTTTATGAATTATTGGCTATAATTTAAATTTTATTTGGCAATGTCTATACATGATTCTGACCTTGAACTGTCCAGAGCAGTTGTTATCTCCATCTTTAAGTAAAGGAAACAGGCCTTGTGAACTTTAATAACTTTCCTGTGATGACCCCATTAGTAAGTATTGCTACAGAACATTTTAGGCATGTTTATTTCTATGTCTTTTTGCAGATTTGGAACTTAAAACCTTCAATAATTGACTTCAATTATTTGATGGACTTTCTTTGTCAGAGCATAAAATTAGACAATTTTTAAGAAGAAATAAATTTAATTCCATTAGAGAAACAAAAGGGTGTCATAAAATGAGAGACCTTGTCAGGAATATCCCATTGTCCTCCCATTCCCATTCATCTCCTACTTCTGAAAATCAAGGAAAGAAATAATCCATTTGTTTACAACAAAGGCATGCACTGCCTGTGTTAATAAAGCAGACTATGCTGACCAAACATGAAGGGACCATCATGGCAAGAGCTTCTGTACTGATCATTCATTGTCATCTCTTCCTCATCCAGAACCACATCTGGTTCACATCTGCACAATAAATATCTGCCAAATGAGTTGAACTGTGAAGAATTAATTTGGGGGTGCCTAAAGACATTATTTGCAGGAATGGAGTGATGGCTCAGTGGTTAAGAATACTTGCTGTTCTTCCAGAGGACCTGGGTTTGATTCCCAGCACCCACATGGCTGTTAACAACCATCTGTAACTCAAATTCCAAAGGACCAGACACCCTCTTCTGGCCTCTGCAGGTATTGCACAACACAGGTACATTTACATACATTCAGATAAAACATTCATATGCATAAAATAAAAATAATAAATAAAATACATGTAAGCCATTATTTGCAATGTTGATGGCCACCTTAAGGTCTTGAAAGAGTCCTACTCTTTTACTTCACAATTTTGGAGTTGCTACTAGAGAGAACCACACACAAGACAGACATTGTGGTACAAACTGTGTCTCCATGTAAAAGAGAATTTTCTAGCTATTGTTTCTAGTATCTAATACTATCATTCATCTAAAGATCAGGAGTAGAGTGACTTATTAGGGACAGTGACAACATGAATGAAAAAAAGTTTCTGTATTTCATTGCTCAA